TTTGATCAACTAGATAAGGCTTAATGCAGTGAGTAATTGTTTTCTCATCTTATCAATGTCTCTCTCTCTCTCTCTCTCGTTTTTTTTTCTCCTATATTCTCAGAGAATGTATAGATATATAAATCAAGTCAGTTATAATCTTATTTTGTCTATTTATATACCTATCACAAAAAGAGCAACACTAACTATTCTCTTCAATCAACATGGGCCAAGTATGTAAAAAAAAAAGAAAGATTTTAGCCAATAAATATATAAATGTATTTAATTTTTATAGCAAACAAGTAGTCAACGCTATGTAAGTGATTTTTAATTTTCTTTTTTCTAAAAACGAAGAAATCTATTATCGTTGTATATTCTTTTATGTCTAGAATTTACCTTTCGAAACAAGTATTTCACCACCATTGAGCTATGGTTCTCAAATACAAGTTTATGGCATTGCTACTGGTGACCGGTAAATGTATTGTTTGATAATTTCTTTCTTATTAACATTTATTCTATTTTGTCATCAATTTAAAAAGATTCGAAGTTAATTTGACTAATCGACGAGGTGATATCATATTACATGTCAATCCGCGTATAAACGACCGGCAATTAGTATTGAACTCTGCACCTGGTGGTAACTGGGGCAATGAAGAACGTAAACCATTAAATATTTCAAGTGGTCAACAATTTCATATTATCATTATGGTTACATCACAAGGTTTTAAAGTGAGATTCATATCTAAATAGAATCATATTAGATTTCTATTATTGAATAATTTTTAAGGTTGCCATTAATAATCAACATACGGCTGATTTTAATTATCAAATGCCATTCAATGCAGCTGATACAGTTACTGTCAAAGGTGATGTCAATTTAACAAATATTCAAATTTATCCAGGCTTTAGCCAACATGGTCAACCATTACAATTCGCAATGGTTAGAAATAGTATTCATATATCATTTATTTGATAACTAAGCCTTTTTGTTTCTTTTTTTTAAAGGAAACTCCAATTCCTGTCAATATGTTTCCTGGTAATATTTATTTATGATAAAATATGTAAATTAATAAATATTTGTTGAAAATAAAACATAGGTCGTGTATTACATATCAGTGGTCGTTCAAACAGTAATGCTTCACGATTCGAAATCAATTTATTGACAAACACCTATCAAGGAGCTGATGTTGCATTTCATTTCAATCCACGTTTTGATCAACGTGAAGCTATACGTAATTCATGTCAAGGTGGTGGTTGGGGTGTAGAAGAAAAACAAGGTGGATTTCCATTAGAATCAGGTCAACCATTTGAAATTCAAATTATCTGTTTTCCAGAACATTACCAGGTTAGAAAAACTAATGACATTTTTTAAAACTTTTCTCACAACACATTATTTCTCTCTTGATATAGATCAATTGCAATAATCAAGCATGGTTCACCTTTCGACATCGTATTCCGTACCACGCTGTTCAAGCATTGCAAGTCAAAGGCGATGTTACAATTTCAAATGTACATGCTATGTAGAGAGAGAGACAATTCAATTATATTTACTTTAAAAATAAATTAAAGGGCTTATAGGAATTCATTAAATATTTTGAACAATTCTCACATATTCGCATTTCAATAATATTAGGATTAAACTAATACAGACGAGAATAATATTAATCCTTAAGGAGCTCGTTTAACTATTCATACTTAATTTATTCAAATTAGGTGATTCAATGGTTCGAATGAATTTAAGTGTTTCAATTGGATTCTTCAGTTCGAGGAAGACTATTTCACAAAAATACAGATAAAATTATGTAACTTCACCAAAAGTTGTCAGTGTCAAAAAACCTGAATCTATCGGTCATTTTTTAACATTTTCCTATTTTATATTCTTGTTAGATGAAATCTATTTATTGAAGTATCGAATTTTTATAAAGCTTGACGAAAATCACTGACAATCAATCATCATTGATTGAGAAAACTTAATTCGACAATTTCGGGAAACTATTTATAGATTCGAATTTCTTAACAATGGGAGCTTTCGGTCAAATTATATCAATGATCGTTATTTCCAACAAAACCCATCTGCAACCGAATAGAAAATAAATTGAAAGTTTCAATAGATGATTAATAGATTCTATTTCTTTCCCACGCAATATTATGCTACTATGTAGTTACCGGCAGCGTAATGTGAGCGTCTCTTACCTAGTGCTATTAAGCGAAGCTTGCTAATCAAATTAGACTATTTTATTACAATAACCAGTAGTATCATGTAATAGACAAAGATTAATTCAGACTGACACAAATCCTGAAACTTAAAAGTTTTCAGATTGATTTTAATGTAGATTCACGCCTAATTTTGATTATGTAAAATGCCGAAAGTTCTCACTATTATTACTTATAATATTACTCGTGTAATTTGAATTGATTTTTAAATTCATTCTTCAATTTCTTATTGCATATTATGTATTGATTGAACATTTTGAAGAAATCTTTTTTGCTGAATAATTTATAAACGCCCATTAATAAAATCATGTCATACAAGAGTTTGTTTTTTTGCTATGAATCTTTAATGTATAGGATAATATGTGAACAAAATAATCATATATCACTATAAGAGATATGCAAGATCACGTTCTTTTTTAGTCTCGATCCTGGTGCTACATGTTTATTCTTTTGACCTCGATCGTGCTCATTCCTAATCACTATATACAATCCTATGTGTGCGTTCTATAAGTTTATTCATTTAAGATGGTTTTCTTGTACTTTTACTAAATAGATTATCTATGGATATGAATTAAAAGCAGAACAAAATGATTATTTTATGGGTATTGCTATAGCTTATTATAAGAATTCTCTCATATTATTTGAATGCTATAAAAAAAATCGCTAGGTTTTTTTTAATTTCATGCTGAAATGCTTGTGTGATTTAAATAACACTTTATTTGTTTAGGTTTTCACTAGAAGACTAAAATGATATTAAAAAATTGTTTTAAAATAAAAGATCTGACAAGACAAGCTAAATCTTTGTTAAGTACCTTGAGACAGAAAAACATTTTAATTTACAGAAAAGTGAATTATACACATATTCACATCTTATTCTCGAAAGACCGAACTTTTCATTTGCATTTTTTTTCATTACATATTTGTATGTCCCATGACACTTGATCTATTTGTAAATAGTATCTAACATTATGCCAAGGTATTTTAATAGGATCAGAAATCTTTCGATTTATTTTAAATTTGAATTGAAATATATGAAATTGAGACGTTAAATATTTATATATAGATTTTTAGTAAAAATTATTCATCTTTATCATGAAAAAATTTCATTATGAAAGAATTTGTTTTCCATATAGTCTTGTTATACCTTTCTCTTTCGATATGCAGAATATTAATTTATTTTTAATAATATCTACAAGAAAACTTAGGCAAAGATTAGCATAGTTATTAACAAAATCGTAAAATAAAATTCACACTTGCACTTTAATTTTATTACTCTAAAAGATCTTGAGAAGTAATTAATCAGTCAAGAAAATTTATATCGTATTTTTATCTGCATTTCTAACATGACTTTATTTATTATTGAAAACATATCTTTTGTTTTGTTTGTTATCAGGGTCTTATTATTTATGAAAGCTTTTAGTTCAACTTAAATCTACTGAGTACGTTCATTCAATTTCATCATACGTATCAGTACATGTTATTCCGTATCTCAATGAATTTGTGAAACATCATTATTGATTTATTTGTCAAAGATTACAATATCATTATCTCATATTTTCTCTATGGACTTCTTATACAATGCATCGTTGTGTTAGTTGTAATATATCTATCGTAAGATCATAGATCAGTATTATTTTCTATTAATGAATTGGCTCGAAAGATACTAAACTGGTTTTACTCTTTTTCGATGTTTCTTTTTTTGCTACTAAAGTCAGGGAAGTTGATTTTGCATTCAGTGATCCTTATTTTGTATTTGCAAAATGTGAAGCCAAAGCAGAAAAGTCAACAGAATCTTAAGTTCAATACATTATGTTTCTATTTCTTCGAAAGTCTGAATAGATTCATTACACAATACACGAAAAACAAAACTATAAATCTCGTCCATGGTTAGAGTTGAATTATGTCTTCTGTTATTGTTTTATACATCATTTATTCTTTATTAATGTTTTAAAAACTAAAAGATCCCTAGTGAATGACAATTTTATTTTTGTATCAAAAGTCAGGTCATACATGACGAGAAAATGAAAGAGTACGAAATATACTGAAATCATGTTACATACATGGTTGGGTTATACCCATAAGATGAATCATATAATTGTATTTTTACTGAGTGATGCAATCAAGATGAGGTTGAAATCCACCTTAGTAGATAAAAAGAGACAGACATATTTCGATAGACAAGCATTGTCAACAATTATTACAAATGTCATCTATTGCTTATTCGTATCATTGGATACGTATTGCATTCGACGAAAAGAAAAGAATATCTTCTCAATCGATTAAATCAATACCAACAGCATTAACACAAAATTCAACTAGATCGAAGAAGACTCTCAATTCCTGGCTATATTCAATATGTGAATACCTGAAGAAATAATAATGAATAAGCTAGTACTCAGAAGAATTATCATTACTTTGAAGTACTTTTTCTACATCTTGCATGCACTCAATAATTGATTTTTTTTATAAATAATTGTTTTTTTCATTCTATTTTGTCTATTAAATTTTTTTTTTCTTAGAATTCTATTAATATAAAAACCATATTATGATATATAGACGTCCTAGAAAATACCTTGTATCTCGTGATCTCATTTTTGTTTGGCACTCATGTTGAATACATTAGTTCAATTCTCTTGATAATTGCTCTTATGAATAACACCTAAATAAAATAAGTGAAAAAAAAAATAAGAACCAGAAGAAAGGAATATCTATTGATCATCTACGAGTTATTCCAACTATTTTCCTTTCTAATTGTGGTTATAAATAAAATGACTGAAATATTTTTCGTCATCATTATTCTTTGCTTTATGAATATTTCTATTACCAATGGTTATTATGTTAACGATCGAACTTTAGACACTTTAGGTAAATTCAAAATAAAATAGTTAAACATATTTTTTAAAAGTTTAACGGCATTATGCCTTATATTTATATAGATCATGAACTACCAAAATTGATGTTAAATAAAACCACAGATTCCTTATCTTCTTCAGTGAACACTCATCATTGTGTACCAGTACAAGCGGTAAAAGAACTTGGTTGTATTTTATCAGAAGGCAATATTTCATTTCAAGGACCATTTCAATCAATGTGTGAACGACATCAATTATGTTATGCATGTGTAAGTTATTGAAATAGAATAAGTCGATGATTTTTAAAAACGGTAACTTAGTATTTTTTATTTATTCTAGGGATTTGCACATAGTATCACAGAACGACAATGTAATAAAATAACATTAATGACTATGAATCACTTATGTTCTCAAATTAAATCATTGTTTACATCTGATTGTACAAAAGAATATTTTTCAAAATTATCAGTCCTTCAACAATACGGTTATCGATCATCTAGTGACTATCTCGGATTTTTTTTTGAATGTCGTCAAGAATGTGTCTTGAATTATCTGCGTGCGCATTAAACTTTTCAAGAAGCATTCATGCTCTATTCAAAAATCAAATAAAAAGAAAAAAGAAAAATTCTTCATTATTCATATTTCATTATTCAATAGAGAAGAAATAAGAAAAGAATGAAATAATCATAATATATGCGTATGTATTTCTTCTGTGAAAGTTTTTTTATGTTATCATTCTTTGTACAGATTCATTATTTTTTCACGTTATACGTACGCGTGACAAAAAGAAAAAAGCGAACGAATAGTTTAGTCCACACATCGTATTTAAAAAAAAAGTATATGTGTGATCGATGGTGGAACAAAAAGAAAAAAAGATGAACAGATAAGTCAACAATTAACTGTAGGATTTTTTCAATATATGGAAGACATAGAAAAAGAAAAAGAGAGAAAGATTTTAGAGAAGTATAAGAACATATATCAATTAGGAAAAGGAAAAAAATATATATATATCTGACGTAACAATCAGCACATACGTACACACACAAATTTAACATCACTTGACTCCTTCTTTTACAACAGGTACAACAACAGGTGCCGGTACAGGAAAATTTTGTGGATCGAATTGTTTGAAATAACCATGATTAAGACATTGTTTGGCCGATATACGTCGTACCGGATCATAGACAAGCATTTTCTATAAAATCAAAGGAAAAAAACCAAATTCGATAATAAAACAATAAAGAAAGAAAATTTTAACGAACAAGAAGTAAATCAAGTGCATCATCACGCATTCGATCATTGAGTAATGATGATAAATCATTAATTTGTTTCCATCGTGGAAATGAAGATTTAAATTCCGGTAATGATACAACACCTGGCCATGTTTCATCTGTTGGTGTACCAAGTGTTCTAAAATAAACTATGAAAGATTGTTTTTCTATATTAAAAAACAAAAAAATTTACCGAAAAATACGAAAGAGTTGATCGATTTCTGAATCACCTTGAAATAATGGTCGTTTTGTATACATTTCAGCAAAAATACAACCAACAGACCAAACATCAACTATTTAAAAAAATAAAATACAAGATAAGATTTATCAATAGAGAAAGAAAAAATTGTTTCTATTCATACCTGGACATGAATAACGTGAAGCGCCAAGCAATACCTCAGGCGCTCGATACCACAATGTAACAACCTAAATAAATTAGATTTAATCATAATTATAAAAGCTATCTTATTTTATTTTACTTCATGTGTATAAATTCTTAAAGGCACACTGAATGCTCGTGCTAAACCAAAATCAGCAAGTTTAATAATACCTTTAGTATCAACAAGAAGATTTTGTGGCCTAATTAAAAACAAATAATCATTATACGAAATTTAAATTATTATTCATATTTACTTTAAATCACGATGAATTATTCGACGACAATGACAAAAGAGTAATGCATCAATTATTTGATACATATAACTCTACAAAAACAAAAAAAAATTCATCAGAATTGAATATTATTTTCTCTTCTTACTCGAATTAATGCAATGTCCATATCTTCATTTTCACCTAAGCAATCTAAATATTTCTTTAAATCCATTGCTAGATATTCGAATATTAAATAAAGACGAGCATCCGTAAGAATAACATCACGAAGTCTTGAAACATAAAAAAAAGTTGTTTTATTTTCTAAATTAAACTTTTTTTTGTCTTTTCGAAACTTACTGAACTATGTTTTGATGTCGTAGTTCTTTTAAAATTGATATTTCACGAATAGCTGTTGCCGGTACACCATCATCTTCACCTTCTAATCGAATTTTTTTTAATGCATATATTTGTGATGTTGGTCGATGACAAACTTTATATACAATACCATATGTACCTGACATAAAAATAATAATAAAGAAAATAACGTAAAAATAAAAATTCATAAATATATGTACCTTCTCCCACTTTACTCAGTCTTTCAAAATCATCAATGTTAAACTGAGAAGGCATGTCGTCAAGTCGTTCTAAAACGGAATAAGATATTTATTAATATGGATACGAACCAACAATTCAAAATACAAAAAAAAAAGAAAACAAACAAACGAAAATGTGAAAAGCGAGCGATTGTCAGTCAGCCTGGTCAAAACAAAGACTACAAAAGGAGTAGACCAATTGGAAAAGAGAAATTTATATAATTGAAAAACGTATAAACAAGAATAACATAATTATATGAAAAATGTCGTATAATCATTGTTAATTAACTTGAATTTGATAATGTATTTTAATCGGATGTATGAATCAATACGCACGATGGCGCCACTTTTTCAATGACCATCCATGTGTTTGCTAATCATTTATTGATTGACAAACGTAAAGGATAGGACATTTGACTTTCCTAAATAATTATCGACTATAGATCTGGAGTTCTTTTTTTGCTAATTAAACATTATACAGAGAGATAAATCGGCAGAGATTTAGACCGGTTCCTTATATTCAGTTATTTTAACTATTGTAATTTGTCCAATTTTTTAGAATTATATGGTTTGTATAACATGTAGAATATATATGGGCTACTAATTTGTTAAGTTCAAATTCTAGCACTGTTAATCTATTGAGAAACGATTTGATCTGCCGAATTTAATCTATTCGGATTGGTATTGGTACTAGTTGTTGAAGATCCACCAATATTCTGCTCTGGACTACATCAAAGATCCAGAGAACAAAAAATTTTTGACACTATTTGGTATTAAATATATAACAATCTATTGAATATATTTCAAAGTCTTCATGTAAAACTTTCTTAAATAAACTCTTTATTTGATAAGTTTAGACCGACAGTCTGATGGAAAATCAATAAAAATCTTCTAAGATAATCATTAAGCTAAATTAACAAGAAAACATTAACTACTTTTCTTATTATAATGATACTATGTACCTGATTTCATTGCACATTATTTCTCTAAATAGTAGAATGATAGATAAATACCATATATTAATAATATCTTATGCAAAGAAAATTCTCATCTTACTAGGAAACTTTTTCAATGGACAAAAAATGCTTGTGAGTTCAGAATGTTATCTTTAAGATATCAGTGTAAAATTTTTAGTTTTGATTCACTAAAAAAGTGCAGTGATGCAGAAAAATTATAGTTAAAAATTGATATCTCAGTCGAATTACCATTTGCGTCCATATATTCTTAGGCTTTTTCTACTGCATACATATCCTACTTGTGAATAAATCTTAAACTCAAAAGTTTTTTATCATCGGCAGAGGTTCCTATGTTGATGTTTTAACCATGATATGTGAAAATCTT